ATATCTTTGTGTATGTAGAATTCAGAAAATATGTTACCCCCGAACCCTCTGTGAGAAAAGTAAATGAGGAAAACATCTCAAGGTAGAACACTTGGAATTTATAAAATGTGTTAAAAGTAAAAATGTTCTAAGGGGGGTGACATGGGAGAAGCGAAAGTTAACTTATCTTGGTGGGATTGCTTAGTTATTGATACAGTATCAGAGAAATATCAGTTAATCATAACTATGAGGATGGGAAGTGGGATTGATAAACACAATAGAAAGCTTCCAAATAATGGAAAAAGAAAAAGAAAATATGGAGAAATGCAATCAGGCCAGTAATAGTAAGAAGGTAAAGAAGAAGAAGAAAACATCAAATAGTAGAAAGAAAATGAGATGAAATGTATATCTATCATCACTAACTATGAGCTGAAATGTCCTCAGAAATCAAATATTGAAAGTTATACAGGGGACGCCTGGGTGGCTCAGTTGGTTAAGCATCTGCTTTTGGCTCAGGTCATCCCAGGGTCCTGGGATTGAGTCCTGCTGTCCGCTCCTTGCTCAGCAGGGAGCCCACTTCTCCCTCTGCCTGCAGCTTCCCCTGCTTGTGCTCTCTCTCTGACAAATAAATAAACAGAATCTTTAAAAAAAAAAAAAAAGTTATACAATAGGAGGGAGGGTAGTGTTAATTAAATGACAAAGAAAAGTTGAAAATGAGTGATTAGGCAGAGATAAACTAGCCAAATGCAAATAAAATACGGCAAAATGTTTATATTATTGCCAGAAGTGGAACTGCTGGATCATATGGTATTTCCATTCTTAATTTTTTGAAGAACCTCCATGCATGTTGTCCATAGTGGCAGCGCCAAGTTACATTCCCATCCAGACAAAGAAAAATTCAGGTTTAAAAGCACTGAATAGATCCTGTGTATTTAGTAGTTGCAGTTCTTGAAGATGTATAGTAATCACAAACATTTTTTTAAAAGATTTTATTTATTTATTTGAGAGAGAGAGCACTTGCAGGAGTAGGGGAAAGGGCAGAGGGAGAAGCAGGCTCCCCACTGAGCAGGGAGCCCGATGTGGGACTGGATCCCAGGACCCTGGGGTCATGACCTGAGCCAAAGGCAGAAGCTTAACTGACTGAGCCACCCAGGCGCCCCAATCACAAACATTTTTTAAATTGAGGTAAAATTGACGTAAAACCTTATATTAGTTTCAATGTATAACATTATGTTTTAATATTTGTATATATTTTGAAATAATCCCCTCAAGAAGTCTAGTTAACATCTCTTGCCACACAGTTACAAAGTTTTTTTCTTGTGATGAGAACTTTGAAGATCTACTGTCTTAGCAACTTTCAGATGTGTAATAATAGTATTATATATTAACTATAGTCATCATGCTGTATATTACATTCCCCAGCCTTACTTATTTTATAACTCGCAGTTTGTGTCTTTTGACCACTTTCATCCATTTTGCCCACCTCTGTTTCTACTCCCTTCCTGATTTACCAATCTATTCTATGAGAGTTTTTTTTTAAGGTTCTACACATGAGATCATATGGTATTTTTCTTTCTCTGTCTGACTTATTTCACTCAGCATAATGCCCTCAAGGTCCATTCATGTTGTGGCAGACGGCAAGATTTCCTTCTTTTTTATGGCTGCCCATTTTTTAATCAGATTGTTTTTTTCTATTGAGTTGTATGTGTTCTTTAGATATTTTAGATATTAACCCCTTATCAAATACATGATTTGCAAATATGTTCTCCCAATTGGCAGGTTGCCTTTTCATTTTGTCGATGGTTTCCTTTGCTGTGTAGAACACAGACCTTTATATAATACAACAGCAACCATAACCACAGAGCATCCATATAGATCAAACAAAAGCTCCAAGAAATACAACTTAATTAGAAGACAGCTATTGTAAGAATTTAAAATACCACTTTCATAATTTAACATATTAAGAAGAGAAAACATAAGCGATACAGAAAATGTGAATAATATAGTCAACAAGCTTGATTTTTGGATTCATTAGGATTCTATTTTGAGAATATATTTGAAGATGTGTTCCAGCTGACTGAGAATGAGATGTAAGGTCTGAGATGGGAGAAATGGTGGAACTAATCTGGGATTCCAGTGTGAACAGGATGAAAGCTGAGGAGCATTTCTAGAAAGCAACTCATCCAAATTAGAATTGGAAGTTAGTGGGATCCTGAAATTACACCTTAAAAAAATTTGAAATGGTCCCAAGAAATGGTATGATATAATATGATTATGAAACTGAGAAATGTTAGGGACATGGGGCAGAAGTCCTAAGTATCTTCTCCCACGGAAGGATAAATCAGAAGAACTGTAAAAAAGTCACACTACAAATGTGAATGAAACAAAATGTCACCTGAGTTGGAGTATTTGATGAACTGTGTGAAAGAATCCATTTGAACTTCACCCTGGAAATACTTTATTTTGGGGGGGTTGGCGTGCAGTGAACTATACTTACAGAATCAGAATGCAAGTACTGTTGTTTTTCACATTTTACATTCAGCTTTATAGAGGGAGTGCAAGAAGGTGTCTTCCTTATGTGCATGAAACATTTAAAACTGTTAGTATATTTTGTTACAGGCACAACTTATTGGTGATTTAAAAAAAAAACTCAGATTTTACAGATTTCATTGTAATTCAGAGTATTAGTGGAAATCAACTGGACACAAAAACTGGGTACTTGGAAATATAAAGTTCTTCCTAAAAAAAAAAAATCTGAAAATTTAAAATTGGTGTTTCAGATCATTGGAAGCTTGCTGTGTGTGGCACGGTTGTGTGGCTATTTAAGTTAACTTAAAGTTAAAAATTCTGTTATTTTAGTGGCACTGGGCCCATCTCCTGTTCTTAACAGCCACAAGTTGCTGCCACCTTGGAGACTGTAGATACAGAACAACTCCATTCTGGTAGAGTTCAACTGAACAGCTCTGATGTAGGAAGTACTTCAAAAGAGGACACTTCATAGACTTATGGGACATAACAAACTGGTAGCTGGAGGGAAATGGAAAGCCTTTAATAACTTACATTATTTAAAATAAAAAAACAAAAGAAAGAGAATGAATTTTTAAAAATGCTGAAAATAATGATAGAAATAAAACAAAACATGCCAGAATTGATTAATAAAAAGTAGAGTTTCTGAACAGACTATAACTTTTTTTTTTTTTTAATTTTGTTATGTTAGTCACCAGACTATAACTTTTGAAAAGGAAAATAAAAATGTATTTGGGGCGCCTGGGTGGCTCAGTCGGCTAAGTGTCTGTCTTCGGCTCATGTCATGATCTCAGGTTCCTGGGATCAGGCCCTGCATCTGGCTCCCTGCTCAGCGGGGAATCTGCTTCTCTCTCTCCCTCTGCTCCTCCCCCCAGTGCTCATGCTCTTGCTCTCTCTCTCAAATAAATAAATAAAATCTTTAAAAAAATGTATTTATTAGTCACCTTATTTAGATGGCATTTCAGCTGAATTATATTTAAGAAATAGGCTATAATTTTATTTATTCCAATAAATAATGGATAGCTTCTCAGTATATTTTTCTGAAGCTAGTGTAATCTTATACCAAAACTTTGTAAAGGTAATTTTTTTAAAAAGGGCTAATTTTTAGATGCAGAAACTCTAAATGAGATTTTAGCTGATATAATTATATACTAGTGAAAGAATAGCATTTTCTTGGAATGCAAGGATAGTTCACACTAGGAAACCTATCAACATAATTTACTGCATCAACAGATTAAAGGAGAAAAGCCATGTGATTCTATTAGTGAATGCTGAAGAGGCATCTGACAAAATAATTAAAATACTTAAGTGAAATAAGAATTATGAAAGAAACTACTCTAGTTATGGGAGTAATCATAGCACCTGCCACAGAGGGTTGTTGTGAGGATTTAATGAATTAACATGTGTAAAAATACTAAGAGCCATGTCTGGCACATAGAAATTACTCAGCGTTAGCTCTTTTTATTAAAAAAGATACAGTTGATATGCAAAAAAGTTGGCAAATGTTGCATTGAATGGCAAAACATTTTGATTAAAATATAAAACAAGACAGAGTTTGTTGGTCTTCTTACCACTGTATTCGGAATCACTTTTGAGGTTGTTTGATTTCTCTAATACAATAAAAGTAGAAAATGAAATAACTGATACAAACACTGAAAGAGGAGGTAAAATACTTTGAATTACAAATTATATGATTTTCATATGTAGAAAACCCAAGAGACTACTCAAGACTAATAAAAATACTCAGAGGTAAATTTAACAAAATGGTTCTGTAGCAAGAAAATGAAGAAAATGATTCTATCTTTAGGAAAGTCAAACTAGATCTTAATAAAAATTGTCAACATTTCTAAAATTAGCATAGGAATTTCATTAATTCTAGTTAGAAGCCGAGTGTACTATTTTATGAAATTGGATAAGATAATATTAAAGTTCATTTGTAGAGTATATTTCTGAAACTACCTAACAAAATGTGCTTTATATTTAATCCTATTTTTGTCAATAGTCTCTCCACCTCCTCCCCACTATAAGCACATATTTGTATGGAGAAGTTTGAAGAAGAAAACAATCTTGACATTTTCGTGACATTTTCCTCCTTAACCTCAGTGTAGATGGGAATCCCTGGAGAGTTAGAAACGTGATTATATACTATTTCTTTATATATTTTTTGACTCTCACTTGTTCCAAGGAGTACATTTTACTTATTATTTTTATTTGATCTCATATAGAGATCAGTTAATAAAGTTTAATAGCTTTTCACTCATTAAAGCTGTAATCCCATTTTAGGTAAACTGGGATTAAAAACGTATCATTGATCGACTTAGAGGAGATTTTAAAGAAATATCTCATATTTTTTTTATACATACTAAAAACTGAAATGTATTTTCTTTTAGCTTTCCTGAACATTTGGTGCATTCTATAATGGCATGACTAATTTGTAACTCAGAAACTCTGAAACGATTTTTTTTTTTCCTATTTTTCCTATCTCTCTGTCAAAGGTATGCAACCACTCATGTATTCGGTTCAGGAAGCATTAAACGCCAGACCATGGTGGATTCGTGTGGGAACCGACATTTGTTACTATAAGTAAGTATTCTAAGAATAATAGGACATCAGCTGACAGAATGGGATCTTAACTTCATTCTGTTTCAATTTGAAGATTAGAAAGTAGAGTCATTATTGCATTATTTGAACTGTGGTGATATGCTTTACTGTTACCTCTGGCAGAGTCCTTTAAAATTTGAGATTTACTGAGGTGGTATATTTAGTGGGAATAAAATGTGTCTTAAAGACAGACAGACAGACTTAGTCCAAATCTTATCTTCACCACTTAGCTAGCTATGTGTCCTCAACTTTTTTAGCTTTAAGGCTCTGGAAACTTCATTAAATAAAACTGAAATTAGGAATTCTAGGAAATAATTAGCAGTGCCTTTTTGTTCTGATGATATTAAGTGCAATTCTCATCTTTTCTCTTTTGCATGCAAATGTTTACTTGATTTGTATTTCCAGGCTGTTTTACGTGGAGATGTATTCCAAAGTTATATTATAGCAGCCTGTACAGTTCAACTTGACCTCAAATAGGCCATCTACTTATCAAGTCAGAAATAAGTGCTTGAAATCATTTATTGCTTCTTTGGAATGATTGGATTATTCTTCAGCCTCACATCTAAGTAATCTGGGATTATAATATACCTTGCTTCCTGTTTTTACTGTTTCTGCATGTAGTGTGTTTCTAGATAACTTCCTCCACCGAATGCATTTGACATCCCTGTCTTTTCTCTGTTATTAATCTTAATTCTGACGTTTTTGTTCAGTGGATTTTGGGTTTTTATATTGTGTTTAACTAGCTCTAATGTTCCTTTTTTAATCAGAAACCTTCTGAAATTAAACTTTTTATTGGTTTAAGACATGGCTTTGGAAAAACCTAGCTCTTAAGTGCTATTACTTTCTAGAGAGAGTCGGTGTTTCCTAGAATTCATCTCAGCAGGGTTTCCCCCTACTTGGAATAGCAAAATAAGTAGTAAGTGAGGAATAGAAGTGTAAGATGGTATGCAGTTCATCTGTGCCTGAATACATTTCGTATTTCTTTTAGTGGTAGGCTAACATAAAAATACTCTTATTTATCTCTTTCTCATAAAGTTGGAATAGAAATCGTCAATCAATGAATGCTTTTCTTTTTCACATTGTAAAGTGAATGGTCGTAACATGACAGGTGGTGGTTCTGTTTTGTGTGGGGGGTGATGGCAAGGATTTTCATTTGTTTAGTTTCGTTTTTATTTCTTCTTTTGGCTACTTCCAGACCCGGAACTGGAATTCAGGTCAATTCGACAGACGTTTATTAACTATTTTCTGTGTAACAAGCACTAGGCTAGTTGCTTTCCTGAAGCTGAAAATCCAGATAGGATTAAAATCTACTGTCTTTGCATCTGTCTTAACTTTTCATGTCAGCCAAGTCTTCCGATGCTTCTTTGTCTCATCTGCACAATGAGACTAAAACTACTTCCACCAGTCTGTGAGAGAATATAACTTACAGACTACCATATAGCTATAATGTGGTATTATCAATACCTCTCCAATTAGTTGTTAAACTTAGGGGGGAAAAGAGTTGGCCAGAAGTTCTGGAACTTATTTTGTGTTTTCCTCAACCCATAGCACCTTGTCATTGAGTATTCAAGATATGGTGGCTACGTTAATGAAGATAATACCAGTTTGAAAATACCATGCATGTGTATGTGCATGCAAGTAAATAAACTGTTGGTCATGGATTTTCTTCAGTTCATGACTTAAATAATATAAGATGATTTGAAATTTTAGAAATTAGGTTGATAGACAAAGCACTGTTAGGCCATCAAATGTCAGTGATATTTAAAGTCTGGAAAGTAATGTGTAGTTTTAAAAACGTTTTAATATGGAAATCTTCAAACATTTACAAAAGCAGGTAATAGGATAATGAGACCACGTCTATTCATCACCCAGTTTCAACAACTATCAACACATGTTTAGCTTGTTTTAGGAATACTTTCACTCCTACCTCTACACTGAATTTTTAAAAGCATTTCCAGATATCATATTTATCGATAAATACTTCAGAGATCTTTGTCTTTTAGAGATTTTTAAAGACAGTCGGACCATAATGCTATTATCACACCTAAGAAAATGCCTTAATATGATAAAATATCCAGTCATTGTTCATACTTCCCCAGCTGTCTCATAAGTGTTTTTTTTCTTAAGATTTTATTTATTTATTTTAGAGAGAGATACAGAGAGCATGAGAGAGAGAGAGCATGAGCAGGGGGGAAAGGCAGAGGGAGAGGAAGAAGCCACCTTCCTGCTCAGCGGGGAGCCTGACATGGGGCTCTATCCCAGGACCCCGAGATCATGACCTGAGCCGAGGCAGATGCTTATCAGACTGAGCCACCCAGGCGCCCCTCATAAGTGTTGTTTAATAGTTGGATTGTTTTAACCCGACCAACCAAGACCACACATTGCATTTGATTTTTGTTGCTATGTCCCTTAAGTCTCCTTTAATATGGAGGTTTCCCTTTTTTTTTTTTCCTATTATTTCTCCTTTATTTGTTGAAGAAACTGGGTCATCTGTCATGCAAGATTTTCCACATTTTGGGTTTTGCTGGTTGCATCCCTGTGGTGATAATTAATTCTTCTATCTCACTGATTTCCTATAAAGTAGTAGTTAGATCTAGAAGCTTGTTCAACTTCAGGTTTGATTTTTGGCAAGAATACTTCATAGATGGTGCAGTGAATTCCTCTTGCGTCATATCAGGAAACACATCACGTCTGGTTATTTCTTTTTTTGTAATCTTAAGATTGATAGTGAATTTAGTTATTGTCCTCTGATCTGTCCACTTGAAAGGCAGCCATTAGCCTTTCGTCTAGCGGTGGTAGCAGTTATTGATGGTAATTGCTGAGATCCAGTAATGTGTGTGGCTAACAAGGAATTAGGTTCTAAACTTTTTGTGATGTGTAGAGTCTCAACTCCATTTAAAAGTAAATCCAGAGGTGAAAACTAATGTTGGCCGATAGCAATTAACTGTTGCATTAGCACCAAGTCTAATTTTTATAAAATATTTAAGCTAAACTTTTTATAAACTGTGTGGGGTTCCCCCCCCGAAGTTCTGTGTAAAAAGTGGTAAGGAAAATCAGAACTTTTGTGTGGAAGAAATAAACATGTTTTGTGCTTTTCTATTGCAGAAATCACTTCTCAAGAAGTTCAGTTGCTGCAGGTGGGCAAAAGGGAAAATCCTACTATACAATTACATTCACTGTCAATTTTCCACATAAAGATGATGTTTGCTACTTTGCTTATCACTATCCATACACATATTCAACTTTACAGGTGAGAACTCATTAAGTTGTATTATGGCTGTTATTGTGCTATATACATGTGTCAGAGAATTGGAAAAAAATGGTTTTAATGAAATATATTAATAAGATGAGAAAAAAACCTGCTGAATATTTTAGAAAATAATACAAATACTTGTTGAAAACATTAAAAGGAGTAAAATGGGAATGTAGTCTTTATTTTTATTTAGTAGAAATACCAAAGAAATTTGAAGAGATTTTTACTCTCCATCTTTGTGTAGAAATCTGTAGTTCTTCATGATTTACACATTTTAACTAGGTGAGATTTCCACTTGTTTTAATGAGAGGCATTGAATCTCATAGAAAATCTAACAACAGAAAAATGTGTAGGGAATTCATTGATGTGGAGTTCTAGGTCCAGATTCTTTAGAATTTAGGATATAAGCATTGTTTTGTGTGGGTTCTTTTGAGATATTTGAGTATTTGCATTGTAAAACAAAACTGAAAAATGAATTCGAGTAATTACTGTGGTAGATTTCTTTCTCAGTTCAGAATGTCCTAATGATCAAGGATCATAGAGGTATGATCAGTTTACCCAGAAAGAAATTGGAACACTGTGATTTAGAAACAAGCTTCCAGATTATTAGGGGAAAAGGAGAGAAAAACGTACTCTACTGAACTGAAGAGATAACGAGGCTAAGAACATTGAATGTGGCTGACTTTATTTTAATAAAGGTTACAACTTACAATAAAGGTATTACCAGTTATCTTTCTGTGCCAAATAACATAGCATCAGAATATACAGTGTTGTTATTCACAGGGTTATGTATTATTGTTCTTTACTGACGTTACCTTTTTTTTTTTTTTTTTTTTTTAAGATTTTATTTATTTATTTGAGAGAGAGAATGAGAGACAGAGAGCATGAGAGGGAGGAGGGTCAGAGGGAGAAGCAGACTCCCTGCCGAGCAGGGAGCCCGACGCGGGACTCGATCCCGGGACTCCAGGATCATGACCTGAGCCGAAGGCAGTCGCTTAACCAACTGAGCCACCCAGGCGCCCCTGACGTTACCTTTTTAATACATTTTGAATTCCCCTCCTTTTTTCCAATGCCACTACCATGACCTTTGTAGGCATTACCGCTGCCTCTCCTCTGGACTTCTGCCACCTCTTCTCACTGGTGTTCTAGAATTCACTTCTATCCCCTTTCCTCTTCATCAGTCTTTCCCCCACATGATATCAGGAGGGCTCCTTGATGGGAAGATCTGATCCCATAAATTTCCTTCTTAAAGCTCCTTAGTGATTTCTCTTACCATTTTAATGAAGTCTGAGATCTTACCATGGTTCATATCGTCATTTCTCTACTATTTTTCACAGTTTTTGCCATATCCATGTACTGTTTAAACTATTTATATACTTAATATTTATCTTTAAATGGACTTTAACTCTTTAAAGTTTATCCTCATCCTAAGTTAATATTTGTGGTATTAATTCACAGTAAAATATATGCCTGTTTATTTTTTGTTAAGGTTATCCACATGTCACTTTTCTATCTCAGTTACCAGCCATACATACATATGCTGTATCTTGTGAAAGAATGGCCTGTGAGGCCCTTCAGTCGCTGTTGATTCTGTTTCTCACCCTTGCTGGGCTGGCTGCAGGGCATCTTGGGTTGGTTCTTTAAGATGCCCTTCCTCTTTCTTTGCTTTTGTCCTGGTCTTCTCATATACCTTCCTTCTGCCTGCAGCACTCCCCTCTACCCTCCTCACTCATCCTTTGGATCTCAGTTTGAATGTGACTTGTTTTAGGAGACCTTTTCTCACTGACCAGATTCAGCTAGGCTCCCCGCCCCTGATCACAGGCTCTCACAGCACTCTGTATTTTCCCAAAGGTAGGGTCTATTCATTCACTGTTACATCCCCAGTGCTGGGTACGGTTTCCTGCACAGAAATAGTGGCCACATAGTAAATTGTGATTATGTGAACAAACATAGGCAAAACTTTGGAAACCAACTTAAGTATCTTAAAATAAGGGATTGAACAATCATGTGTGGTATAACCATATACTAAAACCATTAAAACTTGTGTTTTCAAAAAACACGTATTTCATGTGTTGAGTGATAGGATATAGTGTTTGTTATTAAGAATGTGTGTGTATAAATTATTAAGTGATAAAAGCAGGTTACTTTGGCATTTGTTAGTAGTAATCTAGGTGATGCAGCTACGGGTGTTCTGAATTTTTTCTTTGTACTTTCTGTGTCTTCTAGACATTTTACAATGAACCTGTATTAATCTTGAAATCAGAAGTTGTTAAAAAAATTTGTGCTACATATTTCATTCTGCAGGTCTGTAGTCACTTACAATTTGAAAATTCAGAAAGCTTTGAAAACCAAAAGCTTTCTCATAGCCCATTTGGCAGCAAAGCCTGGCCTGAATTGATATGAGCTTATTTAGAATATTGATTCCACTTTGAGTGACTCCTCGTATGTTTTGCTGCAGAAATAGTAATGTGCTTATTACAGGTTGCTGCTGCTGGCCCCACTGGGGTATTGCAGAATTAATGGTATATGCATCATATCTATCCCCTTTCTTAACTGCCTCAAAGAACTGATGTTTAAACTACGTCTGGCTCCCTGAGGGTTTCAGAGAAGGAATTAGGAATCCAATTCACTTTTCGTTATGTGGAGATCTGGATGCATTTATTCCTATTTATCCTAGGGAGTTTTTAAATGATTGTATACTTTGCTTTTAAATTTTTATCAAGATGCATCTTCAAAAATTGGAATCCGCACACAATCCTCAGCAAATCTATTTTCGAAAAGATGTGTTATGTGAAACCCTGTCTGGAAACACCTGTCCCTTGGTGACTATAACAGCGATGCCAGAGTCTAATTATTATGAACATATCTGTCAATTCAGTAAGTCTGTCTTCTTCACTCAAAATACCAATTGTTCTTACTTTCCTTTGCTTCATATGTATTTTGTAAGAGCAACAGTACTAGGAATAGGCATCAGAAGTCTTGGGTTCTAGTCTTGGTCCTATTCCTGCCTAGCCCTCGGCCTACTTCTGGGCCTCATTTTCCTCATTTCGAAAACGGGGGAGTTGTGTGAGATTATCTCTGAGGTCTCTCTCAATATGAATATTCTGTAGTTCTTAGAAGTCCTACCCAAAGTATAATACAACAAAATGTTTAAAGAGTTCATGTAGTACATGAACTCTTTAAACATTTAAAAATTTAAATTTTAAATGTTTAAAATTTAAATTTTACAATTAAAAATTTTCAGTAAACTAATTTTATTAAGATTAGTTTATTTATTAAACTAATAAAATAATTTTATTTATAATTAAAACCACCAGAAACCTATCAAATGCTTTGATGCTAGCACTGAAGAGCTACTTGGTTTTCCCTGCCATTTATATTTTTAAAGTTGTCTCAGATGTACAGCTGTAATAGAAAAAATTTAAAAAACTGCTCTAATTTTGATAAGAAGGGAAAGTATTTTCAGGAAAGAGAAAGCTTGCTATGCATGAAACTATGAGCAGGTGGGCTGAGTGGTTATACTGTAGACCTATATATCTAAATGTATAATGAAAAGTTTTTCTTTGTAAATCTCTGAACAGACATACCTTATTTTATCTCTGCTTATCATAGCAACTATAAAACAGGGGTAAAATGATATTTTCCCCCATGACTTTATGAAAAATAAATTTATATATAAAGCTTCTCCAACTACTTGTTCTTTATAAAAAGCACTATTATATAAAAGACCTAGTTTTATATGTCAGATTAATTATTGAGAAATAAATAAGTGACTCAAATACTGTTTATTGTCTTATGTGTTATGTTCATACTATGAACTTCTTTAGGACATGGCCTATATGGGTTTTATCTGTTTTCTCTATAGGGCCTAGTGCCACTCTTGTATATAGTAGGTGCACAGGGAGTGTTGCAATGAATTTATATCAGAATTCACAATTGAATAGAAATATTTCTAAATCCCCAAAGTCAGACATCACACAAACTCTTAGTAGCTGTTCATTTTAATTTGAGATTTTATGTGTACTTTAGGAAACCGCCCTTACGTTTTCTTATCTGCTCGGGTACATCCTGGAGAAACTAATGCAAGTTGGGTAATGAAGGGAACATTGGAGTACCTCATGAGTAATAACCCTACTGCCCAGAGCCTACGAGAATCCTATATTTTTAAAATTGTCCCTATGCTAAATCCAGATGGTGTCATCAATGGAAAGTAAGTGAAGCAAATGTTATAGAAATGCTATAAATGATGTGGCTGTCCTGTATAAACTGGTCAAAATCATAGCATCCAGCTTAGTTTGGAAAACAAATTGAGTCATTTTTCTAGAACAAAGAAATTGTTGGTGGGGAATTCATCTAAGATAAATTTTTAAAGGAAAATACATTTTATATATCCGTATGATATTTTGAGAAATTCTGTATTTATTCCATGAGAATATGATTTCATAAAATGTATGTCTTGCTTGAATTGTTTTAGAAAAATCATTGTCAGGATATGAGAAAGATTTTTAACATATCCTCTTATATTTTTGTTTGTCAGTGGCATGATCTTGGGTTGTTCTAAGATTTAGAAACTTCTGGGATCTCTTTCCGCTAATACGGATTGGCTCTACCTGCTGACCTCTTCCTTATAGGAAGAGGTGTAGTTTTGACAGAAAGAATTCTTTAGACTGGAAATACTAGAAGATAACTTCTTTTTGAGTGGAGATGACTTACAGTTAGTGCAGTTTATTTTTTGTGGGAATTAAGAAAGGTCTCTGTTTCTGAAAGATGGGAATTTGGTCTTGCTGTCACGAGCATCTGCAAAGCTGAGGATACCATATTTTATTTATTCAATAAAGGTAGCATGGATATTTCTCATATTTTAGGAAATTTTTGAATGAAAAAGCTAGAATAATTTCCTTTTAGGTAGTATGTTACAAAATTAAAATGAGATTTTTATGACTGGTTTTAATTTAATTGAAGCATATTGACCAGTTAAAATTGTGTTTATATTTCTGTTATCACCTTCTGGTAGTCTGCTTAAATTTTTGCTCAATTGCTTTAATACTTAATACTTTGCAATTAAATGAAAATACATTTGAATTTTTGCAAGAATGTAAACTTTTCATACACTTCTCTTTTTTAGGAGGGCCCAGCTCAGATAGCACTTTCTCTTTTCTTTTTTTTTTTAAGTAGGCTCCATGACCAGCCTGGAGCCCAACGCGGGGCCAGAACTCACAGCCCTGAGATCAACACCCAAGCTAAGATCAAGAGTCAGATGCTTAACTAACTGAGCCACCCAGGCACCTCCCCCAGATAGCACTTTGACATAATAACTAATACAATCGAAGTACAGGATATTAGTATATAACAAATGATTATTATGTAGTCAGAATGGAAAATATGACCGTTAATAAATTTTATAGAGCCTGAAATAAGACCTCAGAATTGAGAATTAGTTTTTTTTTTCTTTTTTTAAGGTTTTATTTATTTGAGAGAGAGAGAGTGAGTGTGTGTGCACACGTGAGTGGAGAGAGGGGCAGGGGGAGAGGGAGAGAATCTCAAGTAGACTCCCCGCTGAGCGCAGAGCCCTACACCAGGCTCGACCTTAGGACCCTGAGGATCATGACCTGAGCCGAAATGAAGAGTCAGAAGCTCAACAGACTGAGCCACCCAGTGCCCCTAAGTTTTTTTTTTTTCAATAGCTTGAAAATGTTGGCCTAAATATCTGAAAACTTAACCACAGTTAAATGCATGTAACACAAGATTTTACACAAAGCACATACTTAATAAGTGTTTATTTAATGACTAGTGTATTTACTGGAAATAGTTACTGGAATAGAATCATAAAATTAAATACATGTAAGAGTTTATCAGTACTAATGTTTGCGGTTGTGCTTGCATATGTGTAGTCACCGCTGTTCTTTAAGTGGAGAGGATCTGAATAGACAGTGGCAAAGTCCAAATCCAGATTTACATCCTACAATTTACCATGCTAAGGGACTGCTACAATACCTGGCAGCTGTGAAACATTTACCACTGGTAAGTATTGGTACTCTGTCTAGTCAAAGAAATGATTTTGTTAATTAATGACTCAGTATTTTATGGTGATAAAAGTTAAATGTTAATTTAAAAAGTAATTTCCTTAAAATCTTTTATTATCAATTACTTCTGTTATCAGTTACATAATATCAGTGTATCATGATGTCAAATTAATACAGTGTTATCCATATTCTTATTTCATCAGGTTTAACTTTTATAGTTCCCATGAGCTCTTTATTTTTTTGTTTATGAATATTGGTAACTCCGGGTTGTAAATTTTAGGTATTTAACTTCACTGTTCGAACAACACTAAGGTAACAGGATGTATCTTCCAAATTCTCAAAGTAGTAGAAGCTTATTTCTGAGTTCTTTAGTCAACGCTGAATGAGGTAAGTCCCCAGTATATATACGAAAGGTGGCATAGGGCATGGTGGCCGACTACCAAACTGTGTATATGTGCTGTTTTCCGCAGAATGGTTTTGTGTAGAATGTTCCCATTATATTATGGTTTAAGTGAGGTAATCTTCCTTTGGGAAAGACGGGAAAACTTTAGAGAAGGAGCAGCACTGACATGCAAGCCTGTTCTTTATTCTTCATTTTAAAAATGATGCTCTTAAAAATCGAATTGAAACCATACTCTTCTTTAAATAGTGTTTTTCATGAGAGCATTTTCATGTTCTTTCAAATTAGGTAAATGTTTTAACAACCCTTGGATCAGTGATGATTGCTGCTATAGATTTGACCTATAACTAAATTCATTATTTTTTAAATGATGAATAGTAGATACATAAGAGTGGAACTCATGGCTTGATGCAGGCCCTGGAAAGGATTTAGCCATTCTGGAATTAATCACAGATCCTTTCCAGACTCGATCTTAATACTTTTATTACTTCTACTTGTTAAATGGTGGCTCGGTTACAATATAAAGGGCAAAGAAACAGACCTATTTATTGTCTTGGTATTAACTAGCTTTATTTGGCAATATATGAATTTGAAGTTTTTTAATTTTTAAAATATATTGTATCTTCAAGGTTTATTGTGATTATCATGGCCATTCCCGGAAGAAGAATGTATTTATGTATGGATGCAGCATCAAAGAGACCGTATGGCATACCCACGATAATGCAACTTCATGTGATGTTGTGGAAGATGTAGGATACAGGGTAATTATTACAGAGAAGTCTGGAGTTTTTGGAGTTCAAACGTGCATAGCACTACAGAGAATAATTTAACATACACAACCTACTCAGATTCAGCAAGTGTTGCCATTTTGCCATTTTTTTCTTGTTTCAGATTTTTTCAAGTTAACCATTCTAAAATTTTTGCTTCTCACATTTAGATTTTTAATCTATTGGGAATGTATTTTTGTATGAGGGTTGGGGATCTAATTTTAGTTTTCCCATATATAGCCAGTTGTCTCAGCACCATTTATTAAACAGTACATCCTTCCTGTGCCAGTTTATAAAGCCATCTGTTACATACCATGTTTCCATACGTCTGGGTGTGTTTTGAGGTATGCCCAGGACTGAAAGATCTTACTGCTTCACGTCCTGGGTGCTCTCCATTCGGGCACAGTGGCTTTCCTACTGTATTTGTGCTCAAACAAAGCACCCCAGTTTATTTTCCCAAAAGAGTTTTAGTAGCGTCCCACTGCTGTGAGCAGAAATTCAAAGGCACATTTTCTTTTTGGTGTCCTCTTTCTTCTTCCCCTTTCCCAAATAAATAAAATGATTAGAGTTAAGTTAAAAAAATGGGAACACTCCAGAAACAAAGAGTAGTAAGTGAAAGTCATCTTCTGTCAGTCACTAATCATTTCTACCAATGTATTGTGAGATTTGCCTCTAAGGACATTCATTCTTAAATGTATATACATGTAGCCTATGAAGTTCTGTTTTTATTCTGACACCACAGCCAGTATGTATTGCTTTGCATTTTTATCACTGCACACATGTGCCAAAATTTGTTTAGTAGTGCAACTACTATTAGTGGTGGTTTGATTAGTATTGCCAGATTGTCCTACATAAACATGGTGTAAGTCGATAGTGCTCCGTACAGTGACTGACAGTGCTGTTTCCATACCCTTACGACAGCATGCTGTCAGCTCTGTGAGGGAAGAACTATCGGATGGTTTTAATATCTGTAATTATAAATGAGGTTGAGTACCTTTTCATATGTTTGGCCAATTATGACCTCTCCCTCTCTTTTAAAAGCCTTTTCTCATATTCTCTGCTTGCTCTTATACTGGTCATCTAATTATTATTGTTTTTAAGATAACAACTCTTTATATGTATTACAAATATGGTGAAACGTTTGTGTGTGGTAATTTAAAACTCACATCATATTTGTTGATTTTTTTTTTAATGACTTCTGAGTTTTGAGGCTTAGAAAGACTTCTTATCCCAAGATTTAAAAAATAAAGTTCCGTGTTTACTGTTTTTAATTTCATTTTGAAATTTTACTAATTGTAAGTTTAAATTCACAGAGCAGTTAGACTTGAACATACTGAAGAGTGGCTTCAGCTAGTTTCTCTCAGTGGCTCTCCACCGGTGCCAGCAGTTAGGGAGTGATCGGCCTTCTCTCCACTAATTTCTAATTTTAACACCTGCCTTTGGTTCCAGTTCGGAATTCTCTTTCTGGAGAGGTATCTGGTCCAACACAGTATCACGATTTTACTTCCCTTACATAGATAATCAGGTGAATATCTGTTGGATTATTTCTCTAGTCAGAGCGTCTCTCAGAGTTCCACTGGTTCTGCCCCCATACTTACACACTCCAGGAGAACCTGAGAATAATGTGAAGTTGAAAAAAAATGGGCATTTTGATTGTGATTGCCTTAAGCCTTATTGATTAACTTAGAGGTGATTGACATTTATAATATTAAATCTCTTAATAGGCCATCTTTCATGACTAAAGTTGCTTTGTTTTTTAAACATGGTCTTTTTAAACATTTTTTAACATAGTTTTCGTTCATTTATTGGTTGCTACTATGAATGTGATCCTTCTATTTTCTAACTCGTTACTGTTCATCTAGGAAAACAGAAAATTCTAAATTAGTAAGGAGTGATTTTGATGCTTGGAATAGCAGGGGATAAAGCAAGAAGATCCACATGGCCCTACTCTGATCACCATGCTTTCATGAAAATTTTTAAAAATTACAAAAAAATTATTATCTAAAAAAAAAACCTTCTTGAAATATTTTATCATTCTTATCTTTGCAGACTTTGCCTAAGATACTGAGCCATATTGCCCCAGCATTTTGCATGAGCAGCTGTAGCTTTGTAGTAGAAAAATCTAAAGAATCCACGGCACGTGTTGTAGTTTGGAGGGAGATAGGAGTACAAAGAAGCTATACCATGGAAAGTACTTTATGTGGCTGTGATCAGGGAAAATATAAGGTAAAACATCTCAGGACTTTGATCAGTAAAAATTATTTTAAGGACTTCCTTTTCACATAGTATGCTGGTGGTTTTCAAGTATATATTAAATGACATGTTTGTTATACTGAGTTATATGTAATTTGCAAGAATAGAATTGAATCATATGCAATTCTTTTTTACTTCTCTGTACTTAAATAGCTTGCTTTTGGTCTTTATGAAATCTTGGTTGAGCCTGTCTACATTAGGCATGTTGTGGTACACATTTAAATATTGATTGGTAATTTATAATGAGCTGTGCAAGTAGTACATTATCAATAAAAATTTTCTATCATTTTAATTTGTTGGAGATAAATATATTTTTATGCATTTAGAAATAAACACATTACATTTATTTATAAAGTTTTATATACTTAGATTTGTGTGTGCGTGTGTGACTTTTAAATGCATATCCCTTCACTAAAATGTTTTCTTTACTAAGACTGCTCTTCTCTAGTGTCATAGACTTTTTTTTTAAGTTGTATTTATTTATTTTAGAGAGAGAGAGAGCACGAATGGGAGGGGCAGAGGAAGAGAGAGAATTTTTTTTTTTAAAGATTTTATTTTTTGACACAGAGAGAGAGAGCGCACGCACAAGCAGGGGGAGTGGCAGGCAGAGGGAGATGGAGACTCCCTGCAGAGCAGGGGGAGCCTGATGCAGGACTCGATCCCAGGACCCCAGGATCATGACCTGAGCCGAAGGCAGTCGCTTGACCACCTGAGCCACCCAGGTGCCTGGGAGAGAGAGAATCTTAAGCAGATTCCGCACTGAGCGCAGAGCCCGCCGCTGGGCTCAATCAAGACCTGAGCTGAAACCAGGAGTCAGATGCTTTACTGACTGCACCACCCAGGCGCCCCTGGTGCCATAGACTTTTATTGGAAACAACTGGAGCTTAAAGTTTACTTTTGAAATTAAAGACTAATAAAATATTACGTGACTTTGAATTTTTTAATTTGAAAGATTGAGAACCTAATGAGCAATCAGTCGGAGCTTAGATAATCAACAGCAAACAAATAAATATGACAAGTACTTATTTTTTTTGCTACAGAAAGATTTTCAGGTGTCATGCTAATTATTCTGTTTGATTTGGTTTTGTATAGGGCAAGAGGAAACTGAATCTAAGAGTGATTTTCATATACCTCACATAAAAATGGTTGTAACTTCGTTTGGAAAGAGTTAAAAATTTAAAAATCTCCCAATTGGTTAGTATTAAAAATGTCAACATATTATAGTTGACTGAAAGCTTAACTGGAGAGCCTAAGTAATGACTTTTTCAGTCTGTACCAAACTGGAGGAAAATTGTATAGATCTTGCAACTGACATTCAAACTTTTGGGGCCTGGTCGAGTAAAACTTAATGAAATTTCAGTACTTTCTGTTGAGTGATTTCCCTAAATTTTAGGTTGACCACAGTATATTATTTTTCCAAAATGTAATGTCCTTTGAATTCTCTTCAAATACTGTAAAACAGTGACTTCTCATCTGCTAAGGACATGATGGTGATAAGAGATAAGATGTCCTAGAGCACTACTCTAGCTCCCAACCCCTGTCTCGTAATCATTGCTGTTGTGGACAACTTTGCCAAGAGTCTCATATTCTTTAAGTGTGTAGGATGGGAACAACGCTTGAGAATCACTTTTGTATAAGACCATAGGTATCTCTGAGGAAAAAACCCTTAAGCTGTATGATTTATGGAAACAGACTGTAAATTATGTCTTAAAGAGATCCTTTATGCAGTCAGACTGGAGAAGGCAATTTAAAGCATCAGTGTCTTTGAAACTAGCCTCTGGGGGCAGGAGGAGAAGTAGAGAAACTGAGGTTTGCATGCCCCTTGAAATCAACTATGGGATATAGCATTAGTGCTTTCTTATTATATTTGGATTCTACTGATAGACTTTCATTAGATTTTTTAAAACATTCTATTTGTATTTTGATAAATTTCTTTGGTCATTTCAAAAACCACATTTTAAAAATAGCTAAAAAATATATTTTGAAACATAAAATGTTAAACCAGTTTTCCAAACGGTTATTTTTTTTAAATCTATAGACTTTAAAAAATAAAATGGGGGGCGCCTGGGTGGCTCAGTTGGTTAAGCG